ACGTGAATTTTTTTCATTTTTTGGCATGAACGACTCATTTTCGTCATTGTTTGTGGTAGTACATCAAAACATAGTTTGACCGACTCAATTGTGGAGAAAAAAGTCCATATAGGTCATTTAAATCATGATAGGTTAAGTTCATGACCATAGGTGGACAAGTCAAGCCTTGGTAATCAATTACAAGGTCCTTGTAATCGATTACCAAGGGCTTACTGTTGGTTTGTACATAAAGTTAACCGTGACTCCCAGCTAGGAGGACTAGACTTCCATAATGATTTTATGTGTCCCTGTATTTCTTTTTTCATTTTTTGGCATCGACAACTCAATTTCGTCATCATTTGTGGTGTCTAGTACATCAAAACATAGTTTGGCCACTCAATTGTGGAGGAAAAAACCCATATGGTGATTTGAACCAAGGAAGCAAGAAGCCCATGACCATTGATTGACAACTCAAACCCTGGTAATCGATTACCAAGGGCCTATTGCTAATTTGTACATAAAGTTCAACGTAACTCTTCAGTTAGAAGAATTGGACTCCTCAAAGCAATTTTCTGTGTCCTTCTTGGTGATTTCTTTTATTTTTTGACATGGATTACTTAGTTTTGTCATGAGTTGTGGTGTTTAGTACATCAAAATAAAATTTGTTGCACTCAATTGTGGAGGAAAAAGCCCATATAAGTGGTTTGAACCAAGGCACGTCAAGTCAGTCTTGGTAATCGATTACGGGATTCCTGCTTGTAATCAATTACAATGGACCTATTGTTGGTGTGTACCTAAAGCTTAACATGGGTCCCCAACTAGGACAACTGAACTCCCCAGAGTGATTTTGTGTGTTCCTTTAAGTGATTTATTTCACTTTTTGGCATGGATGACTCTGGTATTTTGGAAAGACACCACCTGTGATTTGCATTTGGGAAGATTTTTTGAATGACATTTGCCATTGTCCTGCATTGGTCGATTACAATACCTTAAGAAGCCTTGTTATGCATGCATCTAAGCCAACAACTAAATAGTCATACAAATGACGAAGTGTCATATGAAGAAAACAATCCACAACCAAGTAAAATAGATTGTCCATGATGATTTACTCTAATGAATGGTGCAAAAAACATGTCGTACTTATTTGTTAAGTACGTTGTGTCGAAGGAGACATCATTGAATTCCTCACAAGCAGCACGACTTCTAACATCAGCGTAAATAACACTACAATTTCATTTTTCTTCGTCCATTTCAATCTCGTAGAAGAAGTCGTTATTTAATTCTTTCATCTTTGAAAAGTGTTGTAAGAGTGTTTGACCACCACTGTCCTTACATAATGACCTTCTTTGCTGCCAATGTAATTGTGTGCATCTCGCTCGACAAATTGCATATTTTCAAATCTACCTGCATCGCCCACGATGCTAAGAAAACTTTTATTCATCCGTACGCCGACATCATCATTTACCTCCAATGTGTGTTTTGCTTGCAACATGTTCAACTTTTTGTTACCATGGATTAGGTTTGAGGTGTTGGGACACAGTTCATGACTGTGGTCTAGAACAACAATTCTTATAAACTATTTTCCTTCTTTTCTTGCAATTGTTAATCCAGCTGGACATTCTTTTGTTTGACTTAACAGTGTTTTCAGCTCCGATGTAATGTAAGTGATGTACTTTCCTTCCTTTGAATAAGCTAATTTCAAGTAATTCAATTCCTTATTCTCATCTTTCATAGAAGTCTTTATTCGGACACTGAAAGCATACCTTATCCCTTAGTCGGTATAAAATTTCTTGCCTTCTTTCATTGTATCAAAACACATATACATTGCTTGCACCAATTCCATAGAATTTTCATCCTTGTCATTAATTCAATCATTAAATTTGGGCACGATAGTATCCACATCTGTGTGAAGTTCACATGACAATATTGTATATCATGGTTATGGTGCACAAAAAATAACTATACTTAAAGTTGATCAAGGAAATATTAGACCATGATTTCATATTGTTTCATTTAATGTAAAACTTCTAAGTTTAAGGCATAAATAATAGGAAAAGAAATTTGGATATCAACATAAAAGAATATGGAATATGCATACTAAAATAAAAAATAAAAACAATAAATAAAAGAGTAATGGTGACCATAGTGGTCACTCTGGTGCACACGTTAAAGGAAACAACTATATCTATAAGTGAAGACCTCAAAGTTAAAAGGAATGTAATAACTGTGGAAATAAATGAAGGACTGCACCTCACCAATCTCCAAACAAGGACATTAATATGGAGTTTAATGCAGGCGAACGAACAAAATGAAGGTTGAAGTGAACAAAACGCATTTCCCTTTGTAGGGGTTCTTTAATGCAACAAGGATGGAAAAGAAAGCTCATTTCATTTGTTAATATAGGGGCAATAATTGTATTGTGATATTTCCTTCCCTTCATTAAATGTTGGTAGGTGAGATGTGCCAAAAAGTAGTCGTAGATAGTGAGCTAACCTTTCCTTCATTAAATGCACCTTAAAGAAAGCTAAAACAATCATTTTATATTAGAAAAATATAATATAATATGTTATCTCTTTATATATGGGAGGTGTGACGTGTTACATTGACACTTTGGAAATCAGTGCATTGTGAAGTACAGAGCTTGTGAATGATGGATATCCCAATGAAATTTCGACCATGGTGTTGTATGAACATTTCTGCCCATTTCTAGGAATTGGATTTGAAATCACGGTTTAATATTGCTTTAGCAACATCCTGAACAAGTGCTTTAGTGGTTTGGGGTTCATCACTGACCTTGTTCATTAACATAGCTTGAACATTTCCTACAGGACCAGGTATAAGTGTGGATGTAGCATTATACCTCTTCAGGAAAGCTTAAAATAGATATTGTCATCAATAACAAGACCCTCCCACCATCTATAATTGGAGTATCTAAAAAGATAAATTTTATGTAACATAACCTTTGTATCAAAAGGGGATACAAATTTTTCACCATGCAAAAAATTATAATAGTTGGGGAAAATGAGAATGGTGATGTTTGTTCAGGAAAACGAGAGTGGTAATGATGAACTGGAATATAATGATTTCCCAAGTGTCATTCATAGTAAACACTTCACACACCTCTCATGTATAAAGAGGTAACAATTATTATATTTTATTCTAATATAAAATTATTACTTTATCTTTCTTTAAGGTGTATTTAATAACGGAAGGTAAGTTGACTTCTTACGGTTACTTTTTGACACATCTCTTCTACCAACATTTAATAAAGGGAAGGAAATTTCACAGCATAATTAATGCCCCTACATTAACCAGTGAAATGAGTTTTCTTTTCCACCATTGTTGCATTAAAGAACCTTTACAAAGGGAAATGAGTTTTGTTCACTTTAACCTTCATTTTCTTCGTTCTCCTACATTTAACTTCATATTAATGTCCTTGTTTGAGGGTTGATGAGGTGCAGTCCTTCATTTATTTTCGCAGTTATTAATTCCTTTTAACTTTGAGGTCTTCACTTCGAGATATAGTTGTTTCCTTTAATGTGTGCACTAGAGTGATCACCACGGTCACCATTACTCTTTTATTTGTTATTTTTATTTTTTATTTTAGTATGCATATTCCATATTCTTTTATGATGATACCTAAATTTCTTTTTCTATTATGTCTGGCTTAAACTTAGAAGTTTTAGTTACCTTAAACAATATGAAATCATGGTCTAATTTTTCCTTGTTCAACTTTAAGTATAGTTATTTTTTGTGCACCATAACCATGGTATACAACATTATCATGCCCAAATTAATGACGAGAATGAGAATTATTCGGAGTTGGTGCTAATAGTGCATGTGTTTTGATGCAATGGAAGAAGCCAAAAAATTTTACACCAACTACGGGATAAGGTCTGACATCGATGTCCGAATAAGGGTTTCTAAGAAAGATGAGAAAAAGGAATTGAATTACTTGAAATTAGTTTGTTTAAGGGAAAGAAAGTATGTCTCTCCCATTAGACCGGGCTGAAAACGCTGCCAAGTCAAACAAAAGAATGTCCGTCTAGAGTAACGGTTGCAAGAAAAAAAAGGAAATGGTTTATAAGAACTGTTGTTCTAATCACAGTCATCAGTTATGTCCCAACACCTCAAACCTAATTTGTGGTAATAGAAAGTTGAACATGCAAGCAAAACACACATTAGAGGTAAGTGATGATGGTGACGTACGAATGAATAAAAGTTTCCTTAGCGTCGTGGGCGATACAGATGGATTATATTCAATTTGTCGAGCGAGATGTACACAACTACATTGAGCAGCAAAGAATATCGTTATGTAAGGATGGTGATGGTCAGACACTCTTCCGACACTTTTCAAAGATGAGAGAAATAAATAACGACTTCTTCTACAAGATTAAAATGGACGAAGAAAATCAAATTTGTAGTGTTATTTGGGCTGATGCTAGAAGCCATGTTTCTTGCGAGTAATTCAGTGATGCTGTTTCCTTCGACACAACGTACTTAACAAACAAGTTCGACATGTATTTTGCAACATTCCTTATGGTAAATCATCATGGACATTCTATTTTTAGAGGACACTTCATCATTTGTATGACTATTCAGTATTTGGCTTAGATGCATGCGTAACAAGACCCCTAGGGTATTGTAACCGACCATTATAGGACAATAGCAAATGTCATTCAAGAAATCTTTCCAAATACAAATCACAAGTGGTGTCTTTGACACATTATAAAAATAAATATCAGAAAAATTACAAGGATATAAAAATTATGTTGCTATCAAGAGTGAGCTTAAAGTTGTTGCTTATGAGTTCTCTTACCACAACAATAAAGTTTAAGATGACTAATGTGTTTTTTAAATTACCAACAATAAAGCTTCTACATTTATATCTCAAGTGAGTAATTGTCTTATATTAGGAAGTTTCAGTAATAATTCTAGCTTTTTTACCTTTCTCTTATTTGATAATATATATATATATATATATATATATATATATATATATATGTTCTATAATTTTACAGGCAGTAAAGCTTGGACGGGTTGTCCATGTTGATGAGGTATTTACACTAATTCATCTTCGAAAGGGCACTGACGCATATGTTGGTGAGAGGTCTTCCAATACTATTATAAGTCAACTTTTCAACAATATTCAATCTTCTATTATTTATTTCTTTCATACTTTGAATTTCATGTTATTAACCCTTTGTATATTATATAACAAGAAGATTTCTCCCTTAGACTCTCATAGGCCAAATCTGAGATAGAATCTGTCCACCCCATCATTTTTCCAGCAACAATGCCCACCAATGCAGCCCACCCCAATGTCGTCATTTGTTTAACAATAACTGCCTCCCCAACATTTGCCTCTATAAGAAGAAGATTTTGATGATTATGATGACTATTAGGAGTTGATGAACTTTTTAAAACATTTATGTATTGCTTTTTATTTTAAAACTTAGTTGTTTTATCTGTTGCTTGAATTATACAATCATATAATAACTATTTGTTTCAATATTGAGCAAATTGTCTGAATTGATAATTCTGAGTACATTAATTGCTTACTTGGTAGGTATATATTGTGGTGGGTAAGAAATATTAATAATAGCACTTGAAATTGTTTTGGTCAATACTGACAGACTTATCAACGAATATCCCTCAGTAATGCAAAACATATTGATTGCATTACCAGCGAATCTTGATCGTCAGTAATGTCCGCATGTTTCATATTTCATTGCCAACGACCCATAACCCTCGGTAATTATCGACGACCATTAACTTTTAGTAATGTTTTTGGATAAGGTATTTATCGATGAATTTTTGACCATTGAAAATTCGTCGATAACCATGCATTACCAATGAATATTTCACATTACCAACAAATTTTTTCTATCGATAAATCTTGTTTCCTTTTTTAGTGTTGTAACAAATTTTTGGATTAATAATGTTCATGTTTTTAAATTATGATGAAAAAATATGTTTAGTTTATAAATTAAATTACAAAGTATTTTGTTCTCAAACTTCATGAAGATAATGTAAACCTATTTCTCCAAGATATATATATATATATATATATATATATATATATATATATATATATATATATATATATATATATATATATATATATATATATATATATAGTTTATATTTTCGTTTATTATTACTTAAAAAAAACAGTTTACTATTATTTGTTAATATTTAGAGGAATTAAACACTTTATAATTTAATTTAGGGTTAGATATGCTTTTTGTCATTCAACTATCAAGCGTTTTGTTTTAATCTCTTTTTTAAAATTTGGTATACTTTGATTCTTATCCTCGGAGAAACTCTAATTTTTCATTTTCCAAAACTAACGTCATTAGAAATAAGCTAGGCTGGCTAACTGTGTGTCAAATCATATTTTCTTTTTTTTGACTCGTCAATCTTTCCTTGCTTCTCTCCCTCCCTCTCCCTTCGTCTCCTTCCTTACATTTTCACGCCCATTTTCTCTTCCTCCTTCCACTCTTCTTGTTCATCAGTTCGTGAACGATCCCCAATTCACAGTTTGTATCATTTATGATGGGACAAGGTCAATCATCCCCTCCTTCCACTCTTCGCCATTGTACAGTGCTGATTTTTTTGAAGTGAAGAGCCTCAGAGCCGCCAAAGGTATGAGTTTTTTTTCTTAGGTTTCCCACGTTGACACTCCTGTCCTTCCCCTTTGTTAGGTTTTCAGGTTTTCTTCCTTGAAGCTGAGTGTTTTTCTTCTCTCCTGAAGGGTTTTAAGATGATGAGATATTTCTGGATCTGGTTTTGTGTTGTGTTGAAATTATGTTCTTGATTTAACTGTTAAATGAATTTCGATATATGAATTTAGGTATAGTACTGGATTTTGTTTTGGAGGCCACTTGTCGTCCTCATCGCAATAATGTTAATTTGTTAACGTTGTTGTAAATCGGAGACTATGTGATTGTGGTAATTACAAGAGTTTAATTTTGAGAAGTTCGTTGTTAAATTCTGTCATCATCTTCGTTTCAGATTCTGGAACAGTTTTTGGAATGACAGGAATTTATAGTCTTTACATCATCAATGAGTCCTAGCCATGGCTCAGCAAATCGTGAAGAGCCTCAAAGCCGCAAAAGAAGATCGCGAAGACTTACTTCTGATCTTCTCCACCTTCGATAACCGACTATCCAACATCTCCGACCTAATAAATGGTGACAATTCTAAATCCTGTGATGAGGAAGAACTTGACCACTTTGAAGCCACGGAGAAAGTGATTCTTGCCGACGCATCCCTCTCCGACGAGCCTTCCCGCCAATCTACTTCTCTCTTCAACCCTCCTAACAATCTCGAGTATTTTTCCTCGATTGACGAGATCATCCATTAGATGGAGCAGTTTTCGATCGCGCCACCCTCCTCCGTCGTGGGACGCACAGGGCCTGTCATCGTGGACCGGGAAGAAAACGCGATTCAACTTGCGATGTCGCGACTGGAGGACGACATACGGCACATGCTGATTTGCAACACGATCCCACTCGACACCGTGAGCCATTACGGTTCGATCATGAGGGTCACTCTCGTTCGGCTTGCACGACGACAACTCTGGTTATGATAGTGTCTTAAGGTTTACAGCAGTGTCCGCGACGCTCTGGATGAGTGTTTAGTCATTATGAGTGTTGAGCGGCTGAGTAATGAAGAGATTCAAAGGGAGAGAAGCAGGGGAAAAGATTGACTTAGAAAAAAAAAATGATGTCGCTGACCACCGTTAGCCACCTTAGCTTATTTTTAAAGTTGATTTTGGAGGACGAAAAATTATAATTTTTTTAAAGAAAATGATCAAAGTGTATCAAAGTTTGAAAGAGGAAGGAAAAATAAAATCGCTTGATAGTTAAAAGACTAAAACCATATTTAACCATTTAATTTATATATGAAATATAATTTTTTATGATAATTTAAGAACGAAAAATATATTAACTAAATTTTTAAGAAAAATAAACGAATGTGTATATTAAAAAATGATGAGAAAGGTTTTCTTCAAAATAAATCCTTACAACATATATAAATACCCTCACTTTTTTTTATATCATATATTAGAAAACTGTTGTTATGGTTAACTTTAAAATGCATTCGGAGTTAATGCGCTAATCTACGTCTACTAAAATTAAGAGAAATGCTAGCAAAAAAAACTCTTATTTAACCTTATTTACGTAATTAGATTAAATGTATATTGTTAAAGAAAGGAGACAGAAGGAGAAGAAAGATAGAATGTTTTTTTAAAAAATAAATAAGTTTTAAGTATTTAATATATGATTAATTTTTGGTTCAATAACTTAATATTAAAAAAAGGGAATTGAGTGTCTATTGTATTCAATAGTTCTTGTAATTTCTAAATAAAATATTTATATAGTTATTTTGTATATATATTGAAGCTTTGTTCACATTGAAATACAATTGAAAAACCTAATTCTTCCTATTAGACCGGTCGAAGATCAGAACCGTATAACTATAATAAATATTAAAATACAATGCCAACGAAGATTGTTAGAACTTAATAAACTTTTTTTTAGCTTTTCTTTTATTGAAGCTATTTTCCCTGAGTAAATGGATGATAATAACACCAAATCTCAAATCACTTTTATTAAGACAAAGATTATTGAGATCACGAATGCATAATTATACAAAAAATGTAAATAATTAAGAATGAAGACTTGTTTTTTATAATAATCAAGGTCAAAAGAGACGAGTTAAATTGCCATCCATTAGCAGACCTGACTTGCTAGAGTATCACTTTATATATTTTATAAGTTTATGAGTATGACATTATTATTTTCACATCCAACAAATTTTTCCACATCTACTATTTTATCATTTAATTTTTTTTCCTTTTTTACAAATATAAAATTTATTTTTTTTAATAATCAAAATATTTTTAAAAGTAGGACGTGAACTCTGTGAATAGTGTCAAAAAAGTATTTTCTTTATAAATATTCTCTTACTTATATTTTTTTTTTTCCTTATTCATATGTTTTTCTACATATCACGAGTAATTTTGACACAGATTATATTCATTTGACAAAATATGGATAAAATTGTCATACGAAAATAAACTTTGATATTTTATAAAGAAAAAAATAAGTGAGGGATAAAGAAGGATGATATTAACTCCCAATGTTCTTTTTTATATATTAAATTAATATATAATTTTAAATATTTTTTTAAATATAAATATGTTTTATATATTCGGTATCTAAAATTTTTATATTCGCAACTGAAATATTTGTTGTATTGAATGAGTACAAAAAATAAAATTGCATTGAGAGTATGATCACTCACGTATGCATGTGTACGTTATGCCTTTGTATTTCTCTAGCGTATTACATGTTTTGTTTTACACAAAGTTGGAATTTCCTTCCAACCCGATATTATTATTTTCCTTGGGAGTTCATTACACCCTTTTCTCCTCGTTTCCCATTAATTATTATTGATTATTTTTAAATATTCAACGGCTATATAATATGTGTATATATATCATATGAAATGCAAAACCAAACGCTTAAGAAGTGGTTAAAAAAAATTGACCGTTGAAGGCAAAGTGTCCTCTCTCGTATCATTGACAGTGATCATAGAGAAAGGGAGAGAGGGCCAAATATTCTACCCTACAGGAGATTATACTTCTTTGTCTCAACTTAAGAAAAAAAAGAGTTTTCCGAATGGCATCAAGAATCACCGTTAAACAACAGGGCGCAGGTATGTTTGTATTTGTCCTTTTTTAATATTGCATGTACACTCTTTGATCGTACGATGATGCTGCCCTGCTGGTTTCTTTGGGTTGTTTCTTGTTCTTGTCAAAATAAGATTGATTGAATCTTTTCTGTCTCATCCTCAGGGGTCTTGGTGCAAATTTTGTTTTTAGTTGGATCTTGGGGTTTCAGGGTTGGTTTCTTTTCCGTTGGATGAAAACATGAAAGGGTTTATCTTTCTGTTCTTGGAATTATCTTAAGTTTTGCATGTTAGTCTGTGTTTCGATTCAAAGCTACGTGAATGAGTTTTTTTTAATCCATAGATGAAGCAGTAGTGAAAGGAGGGAAACAGCAGTGTGCAGCGAAAAGAAGGAACCGCAAGGCGTTAGGTGATATTGGGAATTTGGCCAATGTAGGAGAAGTTGAAGTCAAACCTAATCGACCCATCACTAGGTGATTTTTTTCATCTTCTTCTTCTTCTCTCTCTCTCTCTCTCTGGCGTACTCATTATTAAGGTGACATTGTTATGATAATTGCAGGAGTTTTGGAGCCCTTCTACATGCCAAAGCACAAGCAGAAGCAGCAGCAGCCGCAGCTACTGATAAGAATAACAAGGTGAAATACTCTTTACATTACTTGTTTAATTATCCTATAAGGTTGTGACTAAGTGTTGTTTTGGAATTGAAGAAACAGGTTTCTGCCAATGTGGCTGGACTTCCACCTGTTTCTAATGCAGTTGCACCGACCAAAAGAGTGGTCCAAAAACGGGGC